CTCGGCCCGCGGGGCCGCCGCGTGCGTGCGCTCGGCACCTGACACCGCGCGGAGGCCGCGGGCCGACCTCTGCCCCCTCCTCGGGAGTTACTTTAATTGGCTGTAGGAGGGGGTGTTTAACACCGAGAAATTGTATGTTCCCTTGTAAAAGGTGAATCACCGTGTTGGCTGTTTAACCCCTGCCAGGATTTGTCCGGTCTTTTTTTTTTTTTTTTTTTTAACTGTAATATTTTCTTAATAACTTTGAAGCATATAACAGAATTCAAAGGATAACTTTGCGTTTAGTAAGTTACCCAGTTATTAATGCAATTAATAATTAGACATCCCCTTTTGTTACTGGCTCATTATTTTTTGTTTGTTTGTTTTTTTCTGGTACCGGGAATCGCACTCAACGCTTGCCAGGCAGGCGCTGTGCCGCTGAGCTAAATCCCCAGCCCCTAGTGGCTCATTCTTTAAGAAGTGACTATGTGCGCCTCTCTTTGAGCCGCTGTATTCTATTAACAGACAAAATGAAATAGCCATAAATAATCATGGAATAATCACAATTCCAATAATTAAATAATTGAGCTTGGGGCATAGTTTGGTGGTAGAGCGCTTGGCCCAGGACACACCTGCAGAAAGCGTTTTAAAATTATAATACAGTATTGGTGGTTTTCATGTGGGTTCAAAGCTGAATAATAACGGACCTAAAATTAAAGTTGAATAATCATTCAGTCTTTTCGTGTATGTGTCGTTTCCCCCTGCCACTTGCGTTTGATTTAAAGTTGGTTCCTATGTGTGTCCAGCTTGCTGGGAGTTTCCGATCGTCTCGGTGGGAGAATCATGAAGTCGCACTGTGTCGCCGTGCTGATGCTGGCCGGGCTGATGTTCTTCTTGTGGCTTCCCGGGTCTCTGAGCTGCAACAAAGCACTGTGCGCTAGCGACGTGAGCAAGTGCCTCATCCAGGTGGGACTGCGCGCGGTCGTGAACGCGTATCGCGGGGTGTGGAGCGCACAGGTGCGGAGGATGTGTGTAAAGTGTGGGGTACAGCCTGAGTGTTAGCTGCCGAACCTCAGACCCTGAGGTGCTGAATCGCCGTGCACTCTGGATTTTTACCTCCGTGGTCAGATTCGGGAAGTTCTATGCTGATGGCAGTGTCCAGCTTTGTATCCCGTGTGCTACTCAGAGGTGAGAAGTACTCTGTTCAGATGAACTGACGGATTTCCTTGTGTGATCTAGTTTACAGAGCAGAGTCTTAATGACTGTATATTTAGAAAAATTAGCCAGCCAATTAACAGGCAGTTGCACCTTAAGAATAAGGTCTCCCTATATTGTTGTGTAACAAATTACTCCAAAACTGTAGCGACTTGTGCAATGAACATTATCCTTTGACTTGGGGAGCCGTTCACCTGGGTAGTTCTAGCTCAGAGTCTGGCTCAAATTGCAGGTTCTGGCTCAAGTTTCGGGCAAGTTGTTGGCTGGGGTTACAAAAACTGCTTCCGAGAGAGTTAAAAAGGATGGCCCTCTCAGCCACCACCAGTGCAAGCCTACTGAGTTCCAGGCAGCCTTGCTTTTCATTTCGCAAAGAGAATAGTGAGGTTAGGCAGTTTGGCTAGGTTCATGTAGCAAGTCAGTATCCGTGGAATTTTGACTGTGACTGCAAAGCCCATGGCCTTTGCACTAAACGTACTGGTCATTCCTCTCCATGAAGTTGGGATAGTTAATGGCAAACTTCATGTCTTCCATAGCCAGTTTCTCTTTTTCCATCCTGTTGGCCATCAGCAAGCTCTCCTCTATCAGCATGCCTTCTAGTTACTGGCTGTGGGCTAAAAAGTCTAGGAACCACACATATGAGTTGGTTACCACTTGCTTAAATGGTTAGGGCCAAGATGTGTTTCAGATTTTGGACTTTTTCAGGTTTTGGAATGTTTGCATCTTGAGAAGGGATCCAATCTAAATGGAGAACTCATGTATGTCTCATATCCACTTCATACACAATACCTTCAGCGTGGTTGTATGCAGTGCTTGCATTTTCAGAGACTTCATCAGATGACGTCAGGTGTGGAATTTCCACAGTGACATCATGTTGGTACTCAAAACGGTTCGGATTTTAGAGCATTTTGTTTTGAAATTTTGGATTAGAGGCACTCAGCCTGTATTAGCATTCTGTCTGAAGCATGAGTCAGCTAACTCTTGACTGTAATCCTCACTTGCAGGTAATTGCATCTACTGGAGTGATAATTATTTTTGTAGACCAAAAGCATTTTGTGCTTGTTTCTGACATTTTCGGCCTTTTTATTAAGAATTCAAATTCTGGTTGTTCCCATCTGTTACGACTTGTATCTAGATATACCTGCAAAGCCTCATGCACTCATAGGTGGAGCTTTTCAGAGGTGGCTGGATCTAGGGTGTGAGATAAATATAGTAGTCCGCTGATTCGTTCAACATAGTTCTGGATGTGGGTAATGGAAAGGCCCACCCTGGGTATGAGTGGCACCAAGCAACAAGCTTGTAGCCTGGTTGGGATAAAAGGCTCTCTGCTATTGCTGCCTTCTGCCTTGGAACCAGCCAACTATGGACTGTTTGTCCTCTGCCATGCCTCTGCCATGCTGCCCTGCCTTGGAACCAGCCAACTGTGGACTAAAACTTCTACAAACTGAGCTAAGATAAACTTTTCCTCCTTTAACTTGTAGATGTAAGTATTTCATCCCAGCAATGAGAAATTAAGACGCCATCTCATACTCTGAGAATCTTTACTTTGCATTTCAAATCATTTAACTAGGAAGGGTTGTTGATAGGTTGCTTTTACACTTTCATGGATATTTTCAGGTATGAACAGAGGAGAGTATAATGAATTCTGTAGATAGATCAGTCACTAACTCAAAGATGCCCTTACTTCATCTATACTCTTCCACACCATCTACCCTAGCTATATTTTAATTTCAAGACAATCTTTTATTCTGTTTCACCCATAATTCTAATACGTATCTCTAACAGATAAGCACTTCTTAATGCAAAGCTGTTAGATCAATATAGCAATTTAAAAATTAACAGTAATTCTTTGGTCATCTTATTCTACACATGGAAATTCCAGTCTAGCTTGTCTACTTAGGTGTGTGCTGCCTGTGCGGTCTGTCATCTGCTTCTGAGGTATAGCTGTGCAGTGGCCAGATGGGGAAATCTATGCTACTTCCTGGGTTGTTCCATTACAGCTTCATTATTCATTATTAAAATTAAAACCTCATAGCCTTTGCTGTATTTATCTATAGATGGAAACTCACTTCACTCAGAGGTCCCCAACATTTTGGCACCAGTGCTTCGTTTTGTAGAAGACAATTTCTTCATGGACAGTGAGGGCAGGTAGTTTGGGATGATTCAAGCGCATTGTATTTATTGTGTACTTTATTTCTATTATTATATTGTAATATATAATGAAGTGATTATACAACTCACCATAATGTAGAATCCATGGGAGCTCTGGACTTTTTTTCTTGCAATTAAACAGTGACTCCATGATCTTGTTTTGGTTGCTGTCACTGCTTTAGAAAACCCTCCTTCACGAAGATAGGATATTGGGAATGGAAGCAGGCTTTCTAGTGCTTTTGGTGTGATCTTGGGATATTCTGGCTTGACTTTAATCCAGAATATATGGAGATCTGAAGTGGCCTCCAGCATACCACCATCATTTCACTGAACATCATTTCAGTGAACGTCAATTCACTGATGTTCTCACATGGAGAAAGTTGATTTACCTGGTGTATTCACAGGTGGGTCATGGTTCTATTCTTTCCCAGTGTGGGGTTGTTTTGTGGTTGGGAGATAAAGATCGAACTCTGCTGGGAGAAGACAGGTGAGCATGCACCAGCCAGGAGAAGGGAGGTCTGTCCGGTTCAGTCTCTTTCAAAATTTCTGCTTCCATTGTTCATTTGTTGCCCCCGTAATTCTAGTTTGGCTTTTTTTTTTTTTTTGGTTTTTCTCCGGTACTGGGAACCGAACTCACGACCTTGCGCTTGCCAGGCAGGCGCTTTTGCCGCTGAGCTAAATCCCCAGCCCCTCTAGTTTGGCTTTAAATTCATCCACATTATCTGATGACTTCATCACAGTATCATTCTCCCCCAAAGTGACAGATACAACTTACCGAGCAGGTTGATTATGTCATATGAATAAGCAAATTTTGTGTTCCATTCTGTTTTACTTAGATGTGCTGTTGGTGGTGACTTTTTCTAAAAGAAGTTGGATTTTAACTTAAAGCCTGCTACTGGACAGTGAGTGTCCCTTGCCACTCATTGATAATATTTTGATGAGTCTGCAAGCAGTCATTTATGATGATCTCTGTGTGCCTCTCTGCTGTGTTAATCTGTTTGCAGCCTCTCCCAGGGCTAGCATCCCCATCTCAGCTCTACTTCTGGTCATCAGGAGCACACAGTATAGCCCCTTCACGCGCGAAGTTTGCAGTAACGTTCATGGTCTTACGAGGATCTGAGCTGCTGCTGATCTGGTGGGAGGCAGAACTCAGGTTGTAATTTGAGGGGTAGAGAGAGGCTCCCATTGCTTCCCCTGTGGCTCACCTGCTCTGCATTCCAGACTGATGCCAGATACCAGATTGGTGACCCTTGACTTGAAACCCAGCATATTTTTGCTTATTGTTGTTGGTTGTTTTTTTGTTTATTTTTTTCCCCTTGTAGTACTACGAATTGAACCCATAGCCTTCACACTGAGATATGTCCTCAGCCCTTTTTATTTTGAGACACAGTCTTGCTTAACTCAATTTGTAATCCTCCTGCTTCACCCTCTTGAAATGCTGGGATTACAGGTATGTGCCAACACACCCAGCTTCATATTATTTTTTGATTCTCCAAGTGTATAACTTCTCTTAGTTACAATAATTAAAAATTATACTTTATTTAAAAAGTTGTACTTTTAAGGAGTATTTATTTTGTACTTTATTTATTTTTTGTCTTTTTGAGACAGGGTTTCATGATGCAATTCCGGCTGGCCTTGAACTCCCTTTGCACTGCAGACTGGCCTTGAACTTGTATCCCTTCTCCTGTCTGAGTCTTCTGAGTGCTGGTCTTATAGGTGTGTGCCACCACACCTAGCCTCATTCTTCTCAATTTCAATTGATGATTTTTTTGCATTTAAAATTTGGTATTAGTCCATGTTTGTAGTACATGATTACACTCATCTGGGAGTGGGTGCATATACATGACACATCTTCTTTCTTTTTTTATGTCCCCTTCCCTTCCCTCGCTCTTCCTCCTACCGCTTGGTCCCCTTTCCATTTACAAAAGAGCTGTTCCCTATTATGGATCTTTTTTTATATTTTGGGTTTGTTATGTAAGAGATGCCATGTAACATTTAAGCTTGTGTGTCTGATTTATTTTGCTTAACATTATGGTTTCAGCATGCATCCATTTTCCTACAGATGACTCAAGTTTGTCCTTCTTTATGGCAGAGTAGTACTCCGTTGTGTGTAAATACATTTTCCTTATCCGTTTACCTGTTGTGGACACATGGGCTGTCTGTAAGATTTAGCTCTTATATGTAAAGCTGCTGTAATGGCTACATGTGACTGGTGGCTGCTGTCCTGAGTACTAAGAACCTAGAGGCTCACTCGTAAGCTGACAGCCAAGCTGAGAATGTTCTTCCCGGCTCCCTTCCTCTTCCCTCCCTTGGACACCGTGTGGGTCTCCCCCTTCGTTCCCTCCCCAGGTCCCTTCTTTCTCTACGACCTCCCCAACAGGCAGTTTCAGGGTGGCCAAGTTTCTCCCATGCTGGGCCTGGGATGCTGCCGGGCCCCTGACGCCTGAGAAGTTACCTTGCTGGAGAAGTGACACGGCGCTGCGGCCGCAGTCACAGGGCTGCTTGGCTTCGGATGGGCTGCACCTAGGTCAGCCTCGCCTCGGCAGGGAGTACTCAGAGGGACAGAATGTGGTGGCCACCTGAGAGAAGGCAGCCTGCCCATA